GGAGCCCTACGTGCAGCAAGCGTCCTTGTGGGAGAGCTGCACACGGGGCCAGGAGGACCTCAACTGGAACTGCGAGTCCCTCATGGACTACGGTAAGTGAGGAGCCCCCCGGGGGAGCCGGCCGCGACCCCCATCAAGGGTGTCCCCAGCTCTGCTGTGGGGCGGCTGCTTTCTGGGATGGAGTTTCCCTTCCAGAGCCACTACTAACGCTGTTTCAGCACTTAAACCAGCAAAGAAACACAGGTCTAGACTTTCAGAGCAATCTGTTCTAGCGGTGCAAGACTGAGAAGCCAGAGTGTTGGTCATATTTTACAACCAAAGGAAGAGAGCGGACTAGCCGCAAGTCCTCAGTTTGCCTTCTCTCGGCTCTCTGCAGGCTGGGGTCCCAGCAGCCTTACCTGATGCTAGCCAGCTCCTCTCACCGTGCTGGTGGCCTCGCTGGTCGGATGGTGAGCATGGAAACCTTCATGCAGGGTGTCCTACACAGAACAACGCTTGGACAGTAATAAAATGGGCTTTCCCCTGGCCCTTGGAGGGAGAGAGAGCACCTTAATGTAACCCTGCCTGGCCGAGGGACTGCGGCTATTAGGATGCCTCCTGACCTGCAGCTTAAAATGACCTGGTGTGGGTTTGCAGGCAGAAAAAAATACGCTGTTTCCTCTGTATACCCCTCTCTTGCACTGGGGCCTAAATCAGAGGATAATTGTGCTTCTGTTTTAACTTGCTGAGCTGCTTTTGTTGCTGGCATTGCCAGTGTAATATCCTTACTGCACACTCCCAGTTTCTGGGATTTTTGGGGGACTTTTTGTGTTTTGCTGCAACACGTGGGTCTGATTACATCTGCTTTTGCTTCAAACAAAACATTTCTGGACAAATAAGCAGCCCCGCCTTAAGATCCTGGATGAGGGTACTTTGGGGACTGGGAAGCTGGAAGGGTGTGCTCCAGCTGGGATTGCCCAGGCTGCTTCCCTCTGCAGATCCCTTGCTGCCCGAGCACAGCAGACTGACTTCCAGAAGCTTGGAACACTCATCCGTAAGCTAAATCCTGAATATATTGTAAGAGCAGTGGCTTTGTTTCTCAGCCAGGTGATGACAGCAGGTTTTACTGTAGGTAGAAGGAATCTGGCTAGTGTGACAAAAATATCTGTCTCCCCCAGTTAGACAGAGAAGAAAAGCTGGCGCGGAGTGGCCGAAACTTGCATTGCACAGGGAAGGAGTGCTAATACAGTAGAGCTGCTGAAATTTGCTTTCTCCTATAGTGACGCTGCTTCTCATGTCCCTGAGTACTGATGGGTGTGTGCTTCGCGTCAGCCCTGAGTGTTGTGGGGTGAAAGCAATTTTCTGCTCTTTTTTTCTGGTTAACAAGCTGTCAGAGAAGAGTAGTGTCCTTGACTTTACTTACTTAAGCCTCGGCTTATTTAACCCAAAACTTATGTAAATCCTTGACTTTGTCTCTTCTCTAATTTTCGTGACATCAGTGCCACCGTCTACTCAAATGCTATTTACATCTAGAGACGGGATGTAACATATGAGTGCAGGCTTGATTTATTTTGTTTCCTTTTTTCCTATGCTAATGCAATTAGGCTCAAAATAGATGAGGGCATTTACAAAGGAGAAAATGCCTAGCAGGCATTTACAGCACTGCTGCAGGAAAATAAAAGTTAATTAATTGAGGTGCATAACTTGTGTTTTGCATACAACAACTACTATGCACTGACCATCCTGTGCCTCTCCTGATGAAATGAAAACTTCAGAGTGGATCCCCGTTAATAGAAGGCTTCATTAGGCAGTTTCCTAATTGAGCTGTGGCAAGTGTACTAAGAAGAGGAAGAGAAAAAGCAGCCGAGTCACTTACTTTAAATGGGGGGTTCAGGGGAGGGGGAAGGTGCAGGAACAGACAAATGAAGATTTGCAAATAGGAGTGTCTCCTAAACTGCATTGCTTCTTAATGCACATTTGCAAATGCTACATGAGAGGGAAGAAGTGGAAAGGGAAGAAGAAGAGTAGGATGACATTTGGTAGGGAGATGGGGAAGGGATTTTGTTTAGAACTCAGTACTGGTTTGTGTCTGGGAAGTGTCTGGCTGGGAGCATCTGTGTATTATCAAAATGTTGCAACGCAGAGCTGCTGGACTGTGCTATAATATGACTCAAGATGACTTAGTCTGGACCATTGCAGGATTAAACTGTTGGCTATGTCTCTAAAACATATCAGGAAGCCATCAGATATGATAAGGATTGTTTGCAATGCAGTTACTTGGAGAGGTGGTTGTCTTTATAGTGATGAGGCTGTAAGTTTAGGAGCAGTATTTGTGGGTGGCTGTGTCCTCCCGGTTCTGAACGGCTGCTCCCAGCGACTTTGCTTTGAATTATCGCTGTAAAAGATGGGCGTGTATGTGTGTGGTAAAGGTGATCCCATGGAGATTAACTCTTTCTTATATTCCTAGCAGCCAGTTGGTACTCATTAAGTACACAACAGCCGACTTAGAAAAATTGAAGCATTCATCTGGATCCTTAGTAAGTGCCAAAAAAAGAAAATTAAAACACGAACAAAAGTGGAACTCAGAAATAGGAGCCCAGCCTTTGTGAATCATGTTTCACCGTGGCTGTGCCACGGTACCTGTGTCCCTAGAGACATGGACTTTGATACCACAGGTTGTTGGTGAAGCTGAGTGCGTGTGTCGACTTTACTGAGGGGCCAGGTAAATAAAGAAGGAATGTTATGTGTACCCTTATCTTTTCAGTATGCCTCTTTTCAGGCATGCTTCTGTCTGATTTACGATGTCAGGATGTATTAGAGGCAAACTTACTCAGTTTATAGTGTCAGCTGAGTGCAGGCACTCTGAAAATGCTAATGGCAGAGGTGTAGCAGTTGGTGTCCCTGTCTATGCCCAGAAAACACTTACTGCAGCTCCCCAGTAAAAGATCCCAGTGAGCGGGTGAAGGTGGTGTCCGTGTCAGTGGGCTTGGCCAGCCCCCGGGCAGGTGCGCTTCCACTGCGAGCAACCCAGAGTTGGAAATTTATAGGATTGTGCCCAGCAGAGCCAAGTGGCTGAAGCAGAGTTTGTACTAGTGGGCTTTCATTTAATAGTTTGGTAGGATAGCAATTGCTCTTCCTGCACTCCTAAAGCCAAAACAGAGCTGTGATTCCCAGTATTAATTCCCAACCAGCCCTCCTGGCAAACCTTTGATTCTGGGCTGTCCTGTGCTCGTGGTGGATATGCACGTACCTTCTCTTCACCAGTCACACTACCATGGAATTTTGCACATTAGGTGAGCAAGAAAATATTAGTGACAGTGCTCTCTTGGTTGCAGTCCACTACTCCTTTGTTTCATCAACAAAAGCAGGTATTTTTGGGCATTCCATGTAGTGGGTTCTCAAGGCTGAACAAGAATTGCTAACTGCTGTTTATATAAAGAAAAACACTGTAACTACACTGTAAAAATGTGCCTCATCTGTGCATGTCCTGGTAAAAGCATCTACCCTGAGATTCCAGTTATTCAAAAGCTAACAAACTAGTTTATGCTTTTGTAAGTGAACAAAGATGAGAAAGGCTTGTTACTTCAAATCCTCTAGCAGCTCATCTTCCTGCTAAATTGTTTTCCCAGTCCCTTCATTAATTTCTAAAGGGAAATCTAGATTTAAGTGTCCTACCCTGTAGACCTTCCACCTCCTCATAAGACCAAATAAAATCAGGAAATACACCTAACACTAAGGCTCTGTTGCTTGCTTTGCCTTTTTTTTAATTTCATCATATTACTGGTGCTCATCATTAAATAATCCTGACCCCTCCTAGTTCTTTGCACAATAACATTTGCAGCTTAGTTTCTTTCCATAGTCATCATTAATCAAGCTATGTAATAAAACTCCTAATCCTTTCTAATAATTACAGACCTTCAGCCCCTGAACAGTTTTTTTTTTTTAATATTCTTTCAACACCACCTAATTGATAAATACTTTTCTGCTGATTAGATGCAAAGAACTTGATGATTCTTTGAGGCAAAGCTGACCTGGGGAATGCCAATACCTCCAACTGTTCTGCTTTTCTGCTGTCCTATTTATGCAGCCCCAAATTACCGTGGCGTTATTGTTTGATTTCATAAACAGACATCATATTTATGACTATTTTGAGTAAGAAATACTCTCCCTGCCAAACAAGGGGACCTGAGAATTTTCTGGTTTTATGGGAAGCTTAAATTCTGGCTGAATGTCTCGTGATTACAAGGTACTTCTGAGCACAAACCACCTCGAAACTGGGGCTGATCTGTCTTTCTCTGGGTGTGAGTGGGTCTCTCCAGCTCTTAAGGGCAGCAAACAGCGAGAGTGTAAACCCGCACCTCTGCCCTCCCAGCAGATGGGAGCTGTAGGTGGAGGATCCTGCAGTCGGAGACAGGAGAGCTGGGTGTCTGCAGGGGCTCAGTCAGCTCTCAGGAGCCTCTGGGAGGAAAAGGAGCTGGGAAAGCCTGACTTGGTGGGTGTGGGAATGAGGGGGATCCTGCATGGAGAAACAGCAATTTCAGTTGGAGCCCTGCAGCAGCCCCTCTGCTGAAAGCTCTCTCCGTCCGTAGGGGTAGCGATGGGTTGTGTAGGAAAGGAGTGTGCCAGGGCTGCACCCTGTGCTCGGTAAGGGTGCTGCCTCCCACCCCAACCTCTTCCATCAGTCACTTATTAAAAGACTTCGGGTTAATTTGTTGAGATTTCTCTTATATTGTGTATATATAAAAGCCCAGAGCTTTTTGCTGCTCTTCCTGTGACTCCCACCGATGCTCATGTGGCAGGCTGGCCGTTTCATGGCTGTTGTCCAGGCCGGAATAGACCCATCCAGCACCTATGACTCAGTCTTATCAGGTCTTGTCGGTTATCAACCCCCTGATAACTGCTGCTGGGGAAGATAATCCTGCAGGAGAGGGAGAGGAAGGTACGGGGTCACCAGCACCGAGCTCTGTCACACCTGAACATGAAACCCACTGAATTTCATAATGGGAGTGCCTACTACTGCCCTGTTTCTGAAGACCTGAAACAAATCTGGGCTTAATATTAATCTTCCTGACAAGACATCTCCTATAGCTGTATGTGTTGTCATTTTCCTATCACCAGAGATGAGAAAATAAATCACTGAGTGGAGCTGGGGCTGACCTGTATCCAAAAGGTTTTTGTGCTTGTAATGTAAGCACAGAGGAGATGGAAATAGCAGAGGGAGCACTGGGGGCTTTTGACTCATATCTCCTCTGGTCATGTTTGTGTTGCACCAAACCTCAAGGTGTCCAACCCTCAGGTATATTTGAGTTTGCAACCTAAATTTTATCAGGCAGATGTCAGACTTGGCGTCCTGTGCTGTGCCAGCATATGTAATGCATCTGAAAGGGAATGTGCTTTGATAACTAAGTGTTCCTTCTTCTTCTTGTGCTTTTTTTCTTAATAGGGCAAATATTGATAAATAGCATTCCTAGGTCACTTAGTCTGAATCAGTTTTCCTGGGCTGGCTGTGTGTAATGGTTAAATATCCCTTTATATTAGTTATCTATAAATAAATCATGTTGTGAAGTCAATATGCAGTACCTGCATTAGGTATATCAGACCACTGACATAGCTTTAATCTCCAGATGCTCATCGAGTGTCCTCCCTCCATCCTCTCCCTGTGGCCCTCTCGTAGGGACAGGGTATGATACATGCACAACAAGCTGAAGGAGAACTAATTTGAGAAGTTTTTTCCACCCTGAGTAGCTCCAAGAAGGGAGAGGGGAAAGAAGACCCTTGTCCTTACCCTTTCTATGCCAGCATGACTGTCTTCAGGTGGTGGTGGTTGGGGGTTTTGGGCCAAGATCTGGCTGACCGATGGCTGCTGAATTTCACTTTTGCTATTGGAGTAGTGGGGGAAGAAAACCAGTTCAGACTGATCTAATGAAAATAGCTGTGAAACAGTGCATTGCTTTCAGAGAGTAGGTTGATGTACGTAGTAGAGGTGTCTGAGATAGTTTTACTGCATTCTCTGTCTCAAATTACTAGTTTTTCCCCATTTATGCAACTAGTAGAGTATGTGAGTTAAGGTGGAGGATTTTAACTCTTTAGGAAAAGGTTCTCTGCCTCACTGTCTGTTTTTTTCTCTCAGTTTTTGCGCAGAAAGAACGGAGGCTAAGTTGAGAGCAGGGTGTCTCCAGAGTTGCTTCAGCTGTGTTGGAACAGACAGCTCTGACGAAAGGGAGATTTTTCTGGAAAATGTTCTGACCTAGATCTGGCTGCTCTCTTTATTCCAATGTTAGAGGGAGCTCGGGAGCTGGCCCTGCCTCTGTCTGAACACGTGAAAGTAGAAACCCAGGTTATGCGTGAAAGTAGAAACCCAGGTTATGCAGATGTGGGAAGTGAGCTGTGATGACAGCTGACTGGAAAACAAAGCACTGGCCCGATGGTTTAGCCCATGTGGACAGGTATCCTGCCTCCAGGGCAGGAACACCTTTGCTTCTTCTTGTTTGCATTGGGCTCACCTGAAATCCTGCTTGGTTTCTAAAGCGAACGGAGTCTGGCCATAATGAGGGCCTTGTTGCAAGCCTGTGTTACTGCGAAAGGGGAATGGCTGGCTGTTTTTCAGGGAGATTTTCTTACCGTTGTTACCCTGTCCTGTGGTGCTGGTGCTGCTCTGCTGGGATAAGGCCACTTGCTTCGTGCCTCAGCCTCTCCAGTGTGCAGTTGCTTGATCCTAAGGATCTGCACCAGCCCGTCCCATCAAATGTCAAAGTAATGATCCAAAGAGGATTCTTCTGCTTTACCTCAGATTCTGCTGTTTCTCCTCCACCTGCTACATTTTAGCTGTTTAAGTTTGATTTTTTTTTTCAGCTGTGAGTAGCTATTTCTCTTCAAGAGCTTTCTCTGTGTCATCTCTCACTTCAGCTATTCCAAATCCATTTCTTTTTGGTCATGCTAATTTTGCTCCACAAGCATTGATACATCTTGTCATAAACAGGCAAGAAGCTGTATGCTGGCAGCACTGTTATTTCCCAGTTCCCTCCTGTGGTGCTACCCTCTTGTCTGCTCTCGTACTTCCCCATGCACGGAAGTGGTTTAGTGGTTTTGTAAACTTGCATGTTGCTGGGGAATGGTAATGATAAAGTACATTCTCAGTGGTTGTGTGCCCTATCTGCTCAGATGTCTGTGGGTCTCTTACAGATACGGAGCTTGGAGGTGTTACCTCTATTACCATGTGGCACTATATCACTCCCTTCATAGCGGGCAGGGAGTTCTGTGCTGCTCCACCGACGATGGTACCTCTCTGTTCTGCAGCTCTGCTCTTTGGAGGCATCCAGTATTGCTTTGACATTGGGCATGCTTCTTACAGTAAAGGATTTCAACAAAAAAATGATTAAAGGAAACCAAAGACCTGCAATGACCTACAGTTAAGTGCACTGCTGTGTGTAACATCTTTCTTGTTTTCTCTTTAAGGATGGGGGAGAGCAGCAGCTGCCACATACCTCGTTGGCTTTGTGATCCTGGTCATCTGTTTTGCCCTTGCAGTCATCGCGTTCTCAGTTGAGATACTCCGCTTCAACTTTGTGCGAGGAATTGGAGGCTTGCTCTTTGTCGTTGGTAAGGCTGGGCACAAAGTCAAGGTTATTTTAGATGTAAAACAGGCATCAGCAGAAAAATATGCTAGGTGGAGCCTCCCTTATGAAATAAGCTGTCTTTGTCTGGCTTATGACTCATTTTCATGGGGAACAAGGGAAGGTTGATTTATGCTCTGAGAGGATAATGGTTAGGGAAGCTGCAGTGGCCTTTGTCAGTTAGCACTTTCCCAAAAGCAGTGTACAGGGGCAACCAGCACCATTGACCCTGCATGTCACATCCTAAAACCTAGGAGCTGAGAGCCCCGGGTGCTTCCCACCTTCCCAAGGGGAGGAAGAGCAATGGGGCTGTGGTACAAGTGGGAGGTAACTGGCTCCGCAGGGACCACTGTGCCTGGCTGTAGGACAGGGCTGGTCACGGCACGCAGGTATGTGCCTGAGCAACCTGGCAACGTCAGCTGTAGCTGCTGCAGTCGGATAGGGGTGGGGATCTGCCTTGGCCAGAAGTCACGTACCTCTGTAAGAATGCAGATTCGATTGTAGGACTGAAGCTAATCTTTACATATCTTAAAAGTTATCTCCCAGTACCTTTTTTTCCATGGGAAATGTAATACATTAGTTGTCATTTACTCCTGCTTTTCTTTCTTTCTCCCTCCAGCTGCATTCCAGATCATAGGCTTGGTCATCTACCCAGTGAAATTCACAGAAGAAATTCCACTGATGGGAGACAATATGTTCAGCTGGGCCTATGGCTTTGGCTGGGCCAGCACTGTTGTTGTAATAGGGTGTGCTTTCTTCTTCTGCTGCCTCCCCAACTGGGAAGATGAAGTCCTGGGAAACATCAAGCCTACCTATTACTCCTCCTCCCCACAGAGATCACAGTACTTAAATTGAAAGATTAAATCCCAGTACAATCAACTGTCAAAACAACAGAAGAGCACCTCTGATGTAAATTTGGTGCGATTATAAAGGCTGAAAAAACCCCTTATTTCTCCAGAATATTTCTTACTAGCACTGGTAGTAAATTAGTAAAAACATTGGCATCTTTAAGCAAATAGCTTTTACCTAAAGTATTATTTACATATTTGCATGTCAATTCTGTTTGGGTGGTTTACTTATTCCTTCCCCTCCCAACTAATTGAGTCATCCTTATTTTATTCAAACATTTGCTTATGAATAAAGATGTAGCGTTCAAGTGTAGAAAGGGAGAGATTTTAAACAACCCATTAGAGAGACTTACAAGTTATTTTGTTTTCACCTCTGACAAAATTGCCTTAAATGGAACTAGAAAAAACCCACAACCTTCCAAAGAATGCATTTTCTTCCACCAAAGTCAGTCCCAAGGAAGGAACTTCCCTGAGACTATCGCAGTCACCTGCTGCCTAAGATTATCTTCTCATTCCTGTTACTGGACTATTGTTGACTATTAGCTATTTGAATTAATGGGAAAATAAATTTAAAATTTATTTTCCACCAATTGGTGCTGTTGGATGGAGATCTCCTCTAAAGCATGGAGCTGGTGTGTATAACAGTGGCTAAGGTAACACTTTCTAGTGTTTTTGTGGCCACTGCAGGACTTGTGATGGAGCCACACGTAGTTTAATATACATTGTCACAGGGAGAATCAACAGCTTTTAGACGTTAAGCTACATACATTTTTACATGGTATTTGAGGGATGCTGATTTAGAAAATACCTTTGAGTAGAAACATACACTGTTCTTTATGTCTGCCTTTTTTAAAACTGCAGTGTTTTAATTATCAGCTGTGCTTTGAAGGGAAATCTTAGCATAAGGTGTTGAAAACCTCCAGAAATTTCTAAAGCACACTGTATGTACCCCAGAACTTAGTAAACTTGAGGATGCTTTATGAGTCACTAGGGATAACAGGTAAAAATAGAAAAGCAGTTCTGTGAGAAATTTATGTATGCAAACTTTGTACAGACACCCATCTCGGGGAGTAATCTGGCTGGCTCCTAGATTGTGTTTCTGGAACCAGCGATTCCAAAAAGTATTCCAGCGAGGCAGAGCCATGTCTGTGTTGGTCATGGACCTGCAGCAGCTTGCAGCAGATTTAATTATGGTCTATAGTCTTTGTCAGAGCTTTCTTCAGCTGGGGAAGAAGGAAGAGGCTAATTTGTGGAACTCCTCTTCCAGCTGTGGGGGAAGTAGCTTTAGCAGAGGCAGATTTCTGAGGGGGGGTACAGGTAGGGTGGAAAGCAAATGCTGCATGTTACTCAGTGTAATGAGCGGCTGGGGACTTACTTCTTACTGTCATGAACCCAGTACTTAGGAGAGGGTAGGTGTGTGGATATATGTATTTGTGCACATGTACAAAATAGAACGTACAAAGCATTAACCAGCATACTGTAAAGCTAAAGCAACTTAAAACTAAGCTTTTTCAATGCCCAATATTTCTTGTATTATATATTGTATAGCTTTCTGTTTTGTAACACCTTTTTTAATTTGGTAATTCTGTATATTGCATGTGATCCTGTTTTGGAAAGGCCAGGTGACTTCTGAAGGTCCCTTCCAGGCCTGTATTTTATAATTTTACAGAGCATAAACATCTGCAGATTTCAAAACTGTGTTACAAGCTCAGTCGTGGCATACACAGTCAACACAATTTATGATTCTTGCTGAAGAAGAAAATCTTGTGACAAATGTGTCTTTTTGGTTTTGTTTTCCCCTTTTCTGTACAGTACAGACTGGTGGGGAATACTGTGTAGACTTATCTGTATCATGAGTGATGATAGTACCTACCTTCTAGTGAATTCAAAACACAGCAGAGGATCCCAAGTCTGAAAAACCCTTGCCCAGCTAAAGCTGAGAAGGAGAAAAGACATAAGAAAATGGACACCCTTCCTAATAAGAGGGAGGATGGTATGGTAATAGGATTTAGCATAACTTAAGTATTTTTTATTTTTTTATAAGCATTGTCATAACTTGTCAAAAAAGCACAAATGTAAAAAACTTGGCTCTGAATATACTGGGAGGGCTAGAAGCATAACCAGCATGTTACACAATTAAGATGTTCGGGAGAAAGCTATTGCAAATAGTCATTAATTACTTTCAAGTGATACTAATGTATGTGGCATTCCTTTCAAATGTGGTGGCTTAATTAAAACTGTTTTAACTGACGGTTGTAGAAATTTGGTGGTGTTTGTGGTTCATGGATTCATTTCATAAACTCAAGCAAATAGCCATTCTTTCTTCTCTTAATGTGAATATTGGTATCCATGAAGTGTTGGGTTAATAAAATGGAGTTAAAGATGTCATGTTCAGGAGCCAACAACTTCATTTTCCAGTCAAATAGGCTTGACTATACACTGCAAAACATGTCTGTGCACTTTCATCGGAAGTGCCAGGCATAGGAAACTCTTTGCTAAGCCAAAACCTCTTAAATGCATCACAACTTGAGGGGGAACTCTAAACATTTTCAGTACCTAACAGTCTATAGGAGGTCTCAGATGTGGGAGGGCTGTTCTGTTTTTATACAAACTCTGCCAAGTACCTTTCCTGTACCAATCAAGAACTTTAAATAGTGAGAAAAAGATGGAGTACTCACCTGCTATTTTCAGTGGAAGACTTCACTTTTCCTGTGTTTAAAAAACTTCCGATTTCCTCATATTATGCATGGCTGGCATATAGCCCTGGGCTAGTGGCATTCTCTATCCTGAACAACTCTTTCTCCCTCTATGATTTTACAGAGAGCAAATCTCCCGTTGGCCACTGTGGTCTTAAACCAGCCCGTGGCTTCTGATTTCTGGAAAGACAGGTTCACTGTTCTAATTTTTTTAGTTACCCTTTTCGTTAAATGTCTTAGTTTTAAAACACACTTATCACCCTGGATTCTGGAGGCTTGCATGGGTTTCTTTGGGGTTTTGTTTTCCCCCCCCTCCTTTAAGTACTCTTGAATACACGATTAGGGCAAATATTTAGATTTCCCTAAATGCTTTGAAGATAATTGGAGGGTTTCTATAATGCCCATTTTTTTGACATGAAGAACATTTGTGCTCTTGTTTACCTCCCAGTCTGTATTTGGCCTAAACCTGTGCTCGCTAAACCCCCCTGAAAAACGGGGAGGCTCAGGCTGCGGGGTAGCTCCTTCGAACCCAGCCCTGCCCGAGAGAGAGCAGTTCGGAGGGTCTGAGCACGCTTGGCCCTTGTCCAGGGGGAGTTAGGAGCCATCAAAAACGTGCATGACTGGGTGCTAGGGAAGGCTAATTGACCTGAATGGGATGATTAATGCTTGAATCTCATGGATATGGGAAACAACTGCCACACCCCACTGGGATTTTGTATTTTTAGTTGATGTAACAAGTGACTCATTTTTTTTAGGCGATTCCTTGACAAGGTAGAATTCCTAAGAAGTATTCACCTGACCTTTACATCCTGCATCTAAGGACTTTTGGACTTACTATAGTGATAAGCACTATAGAAACAAAACCACCCACGTGCTAAAAGGAAAGGTTACACACACACAAAAAAAGAGTTGCTGACATCATTGAGCACTAACTTATGAATTAACGATGAACCAAGCACATATATCGATGGAAAACAAAATGCTTTGGGAGATGCACAACAGCTGAGAGAGCTGAGGTACTGGTCCCACAACACAGAGCAGTGGAGGTTACTGGCAATATGGAACAGCATCCTGAAAAAACAGGGGTCTCAATGTCTGTAGGTGAAGCTGCACAGATTTTAAAATGAACTCAGGAGATGATACAACCAGAATGAAGTATAATCAAATCTGGAGGATATGTTTACCAAAAACAGGGATGCTGAGTTTCTGAATGCGATTCCTGTAGCAGGTGTCTGTACAGGAGCAGCAAAATCTGTGTGCAATGAGTTCACAGCACCTCGGATACGTCAGCGTTGCTGCATGGGTGCTGCAGTTTATACGTGTAGATCCCATTGACCAAGGATGTGTCGATTTTGCTGGGCATATGCAGCGTATTTATAAGATGGGTCTGATGCATCTACGGCACAGGTCTGCACTGGTACAGAAAGTAGCTGGGATCTGGGTGTCTGGGATCTCTGGGATCTCCTGGTGTCCAAAGGTGTGGGCCAAGCTGCTCCAGCTATGGAGCTCGACATCCAGAAATTCCAGGCAAAAAGCCAATGCCCTCAAATTTTGCCTTAATAAAATTCTATTTAAATTGCTTGGGAGTAGTCAGAACAATCTGAAGGGTTTTTCATTATGATTTTTGAATACCTAAATTTAATAAGGCTGAATTTATAATAAAGGCTGTCATGGAAAACATGCAGGCATATCTAGAGCTTTATAATATTATAACTATAAACAATATAAATAAATAATGCGTGATAAGCAATATGCATTGTATAATATAATTAATACATATAAAAGTTTCCACGAATTATATTCCTCATGGGTTCATCTTCGCAGGATTGGATAATATTTACTAGAAGGATTGGTATCACTGCTGCTTTTTATTTATTTATGGGAATGTGGGCAGCACATACTATTTTCCACAGAGATCTTTCTGAATACAGAATATTTTAGAAGTACTAAAAATTGCTAAATGTCAAGGGGACACATGGGACATCAGTGTTCACTGAGTCTGAGAGGGCCCAGAAGGGTCTGGAGTGAGCATTCACATGAAACTGTGAGCCTAAAAGCCAGCCCAACTCCTGTCCTCCAGCGTGCTGCCCCAGGAAATGATTACGGATTAAGTATCTTAGTTGTCTGTCACGGTCTTGAATACACATGGAGACATAAAATTGGGGCAGGAGCTGAGCTGTGGCCGTTACAAGCCCTTTTCAGTGAATAGCCTATTTTTAAGCTCTCTTTGTGTTAGTAGTCCCATAGGACAAGAAATAAGCAGAACTTATTGTGAAAAAAAGAATTGGATTAATTGTGGTACTTGAAATTTAATTTCTGTTCTGGAAGGACAAAACAACTTGCAAAATAAAACTCGGGAAAATGATAATTGGCATTTTTTATCAAGACAATAGGAAAAGTTGAACATGTTGGGAGGAGACCACCATTTTCATTTCAGCCTGCTTCCTGAATCAGTTCCATATCAAGCATTTAAAACTGAAGAGATCATTTCCATGCAATATTTTCATTTCAGCAAAACCCTACTTTTGGCTGGAGAATGTCAAAGTGAAAATGCATGGCCGAAACTCTTAAAGATATGCTTGGTATGCATGTCTTTTATCTGTAAATCTCAAAGTGCTTAAAGAAGTAGCTGGTGCTGTTCCCAACTGACCCATAAGGCACAGTAAATGAAAGCTATTTCTTTGACAGAGAAATGTAAGTAGCAAAGGTGTGGCACCTGGGAATTACCTACGTAAGGCGGAT